TCCCTTCAGTGGTGAGCAGCTGGGGGGGGAATCCCCGAGGGAAGGAGGGTTCCTGGGTTGAGGCCTGGCCAACTGGGTGATTCAAGCAGAGGTTAAAGGGTACCCTTAGGGTATCGGAGTATTCCTTCTTTCTTTCCCTCCTCAGGGGTCATTTATATTGGGGCGAAGCTGTTGCACCCGTGTAGTCTGCTGTTCCTTGCTTTTCTCCAAGATCCTGCACCTTATTGTTTGTAAACCCTGTGCCTTATGATTGTATAGGAATGTATAGATGTTTGTGGAAACCCGTTATAAATATTTAATTACCAATTTTCCACTGCGCCCTTTTACTATTCATTGCCTAAATCCAATCGCAGTGTCAACCTTGAGGGCCCCTCCCCTCCCGAGCCAGGAGGGCGCTGAGTGGGGAGGCAGGGCCTGGGGTCCCAATCCAGTGGGCATCAGAGGGTGGGCTTCTGAGAGTGGTTTTGGGGCTAATAGAGAGTATTTGCATGCCGCATATATATATGTAGCACATAGTTCATGTATTTTATGTATGTATGTTAATATTGTAACTTTTGTATTTTATTAAATCTGCATATACTGTAGTTACGGTTCATCATGTGTCCTGGCTTGGCTCTGTAGGGAGAGGACGGGAGCTGTGGACAGCCAAGCAGCTACGCCTCCCACAGCGTACCTGCACCCAGTAGCATCCCTTCATTTGGAGACCGGGTACACAACTGAGTACCACCCGGGTTACCCTTGCTTCCTGTGTTTGGGCCCATACTACCAGAGACCAGGCCACTTCCCTAACCAGTTTGCATGATGACAGCTGCAAGGCAGCCCCCTGGAGCTCTATACATACCTTTACAAAGCACCATCCCATTTCAGAAGCCTCATAGGTAGATGTCACAGTTGGTAGAGTGGTCCTGTATATTCACTCTGTGTTCTGCTTCTGAGATCTGCCTTTGTGGCGATAATAAGGTTACTTTTCAGAGTTCTGGAGGTATTGTATTGTTTGCATACATGTTTGCATGTATTGCCTCTTTCTCCCCTTTTCTCGGAGACAAATACAGTACAGAACGCTATGGTTGGAAGGAAACTGGGGAGTGGAAAGCACACAAGTAATTAAAGGATTGGAAAACTTGCCTTGTCATGAAAGTGATCTTTTTATTTTATAAAAACAAAGGGATGGGCTGGGCTTTCTTTTACAGTCTTAGTACAGTGGTCTTCAATATAAATTATAAAGGTACAAAGAGACAAAAGTATAACAATAACCATTTTTTAACAGTTTTGGGGAAAAATTAGCCAACAGTTTTAGCGGATTGTCTGCAGTGGGATTTAAAAAAAAAATAAGATTGAATGTTTGTATATTATTCTGGTCTTATCTGAGTGCATCTATTTGAACTTGAAGCAGGAATTAATACAGTGAAGTCCTATGGACCGTTATTCATGGAGATGAGCTGACCAGTAAGAGTGTGCACTTACAGCCTTACATTTTATTGATAATCTTAGTGATGGAACATTAGGCTAATTTCCATCCTTTTACAGTATAATACTGGCTTATACAGTTCATTTTAGAGTCTGATCCTATAAACTCTAACAGTCTTGCACATGCATACAGCCTTCTTGGAGTTAGTGAGACTAACTATGTAATAAAACACTTTTTGCCCAGGTTAGATTTTTCATAGTTGAACCTTTTATTCTTTACACTATTCTTAATAGCATGTAGTCTTATTCTAAAAAATGTGTGGTCATTTTAAAAATGGTTTGGAACTGTTCAGCGTACAGCAGATAAACCTCTGAACAGATTCTGAGAAGAATAATTAAAAACAGATTGCCTTCTTAAAAAAAACCTCAAAAAGATTTTTTAAAATGTCTTCATCATATGCAAGTTTATGCAAACTTTAGTGCAATGAGTAGTATATTTTGGTGTGCAGTAAGGAAAAGTATCTAAGAATTTTGGTAGATTTATGTAGTAGTTAATGTCTCCTGTTCTTTTATAGGAGTTTCCAGTGCAAGAGACAAGAAATTCAAGAACTAGTCTACTTAACGACACTTTGCTTTCCAACTGTTTAAATGATTTTCCTGTCCTTTTACTCCAGTGTATAGTATACAGCTTATGGAACTGTCACTTGCCCAGTGCATCTGTAGTCCAGCTGTTCAGATCCATTAACATACTCTTAGGTCTCTGATAGAAATCAGGAGTACTCCAATCAGAGTTGAAACTGTAAGACAGCAAAAGAAAGTTATATTTTACCTTTTAGAAAGGGGTGTAAAAAATCCAGCCTCCAAAACCCATCCAGTTTGTGTGGCTCCTAGAGGGAATTTGGGGGTAGGGGCCATGAGGAGCACAGCCCACTGCTGAATTGTGGCATATTGAGCCCCACTGGGGATATATGTTAATAGCAGAGGGGCAAGCATTCGTCCCTGCAATGGTTAACACCTCTGCTGCTTGCTCCACTGCCACATCTGGCCCAAGGAGCCAAGGGCATTTGATACTCCCTGTTCTAAAATATACTGTATCGCTGCCTTATTAGAGAAAGTGTTAATGAGAGTTAATGCTCTGATAGCCTCAGCTCCGATTTTAAACTGAAGAGTAAAACCTTAGGAAAATTTGACCTGATAGCTAATTCTCTCTTGGGGTTTTCTACTTGAGGACTAGTAGTACACAATGTACTTATCTTTAAAAACTTGACTACAACTACCCTGGAAATATTAATGTACAGCTCATTTTTTCCCCTGCTCTGCATCTTCAGAAGTTCTTACTAATTTATATGCACTTAGTAATGAAAAGTGAAACGTGGGTGTCACAATTTTTTGACTGTGCTGGGTATCTGGTATTGCTCAGTTCAAATTGATTTAGCAAACATTGACAATAACATACTCCAAGATGCTGAGAAATACCAGAATTTTGAAATTCTCATGTGGTTAAAGGCATTTTGACTTTTTTCCTTATGTTTCACAACCAGAGCCATAAAGTGAACCTAAGCATGCTTTGTGGCAGTGCTGCATGGGGGCAGCATCACTGGCTGCATTGCCGGCAGCATACTAGCAGCTGATCCAACAGCGTGGAGTTGCTTCTACTTTTTTTGTCTCCGCTCCACTCTGTGTCGGCACCTAGATCTACTACCTTGGTTGCCCCTCCCCACCTTTGTTATGCTGTTGTTCACAACAAACCTAAACAGCTACAATATAAAAGAAAAAAAATATCAGTGCTTGTTTATAAACAGTTTATATGACAACATGCTGTAAATATTATGTGCTGTGTTGAGCAGGCCACATTAAATCACCTAATGTTTACGCTTTTTTTTTTTTTTTTTGTATTTTATACTTATTTATTCCCTATAATTGCACTATACATTTCTTGTTTAGGTTCTCGGCTATCCTTAGGAAGCAGTCCATTATCCACATGTTCTGTAAATGTTACCGGGGACCCACTGCAGCACTTAACTTAGTGAAGAATACATTTACACACGTGTTTTTAGGATTTGCAGGACAGCCTGAATTGTTTCATCCAGTTTAGGTTTTGTTTTCCTTCAGAAATGTCATTGTTTACATTGATAAGGTCAATTCAAAATAATGGAGTATAATGATAAGGCTATTGATGATGTGTTGCAAAAGAAACTTTAGTTGCTAATTCCTATTCTGCTAATGTCAGCATTTGGCTTTTGAGGCCCATTCATCTGCCCACCTAAAATGTTGCATTGGGAAAGGAGGAAATAGCGTATATTTTTAATGACCTAACTAAAATGACAGAATTCATATTATTCCATGAGTAAATTTGTAAAATATTAAATAGCTACAGTTGTTATATCTTTACAAATAGGTACAGCTTTGTTTTTTTTAAATGAGTTTTCTTGTTTCTTTTTAGTCAGTGGTGAAGACCGGACGATTACTGATCAGTCACGAGGCCCCTTTGACAGGAGGCTTTGCAGCTGAGATTAGTTCTACTGTTCAGGTATGCTGAAGTTATTACATTTGTTTTGCATGCCCAAATGTGTTATTTGAAGAAATAATATTTATCTTTGAATTAAAAGGTCTGGATTTTCTAAATGACATGTTAAAATTTCTAACTTGGCTTCCATCACTTTAATACTATGTTATAATCTTGAGAGACTAAATCTGGTAAAAGGAGACAAAACCTCCACAACAATAACAGCTGAAGTCATTTGCTGCATAATATAAGAAAAGTCTTGAAATTGACTGGATCATATTCCATATTAAATGAAGTTTAATAGATGTTTCTGAAATATTACGATCCAACTCTTTGCATGTGTGTATTACATATCTTTAGTACATCATGCATTTATGCAGTTTATATTATGTGCTTTGAGTCTTTGATGTTTTTCTTCCACTAAACAAATCTTGCTCTAAAACATGTCTTGCAAGATTGGCCTTCAATTTTTAATTAAGCATATATATTAGTTTTGAGCAGTTAGGATACAGTGTATCTGAAGTACTTTATGCTAGCAGCTGCAAAGTGGAGAATTTAATTTTAATTCAGACAAAGGTTTTCATTTCAAACATTCACTGAAAAATATGCAGTTTGTGCTGCTGACTGTGGGGAAAAAATCTCCTTTGTACTGTCGCTAGTTCTTGCCAAATTTACTTAAAAGATTGTTCTCATTTTGTCATTGTCTTCAAACAGATTTTTCCCCTTTCTTTTGCTTTTTGAGCCTAAATAAAGTAGAAACAAAGCATACCTCTGCTACAATACGCTATATTGCTTCCATGTTCTATTCAGTGTCTCCTTATTAAGGATCCAATTCTGCAATCTTTTCTATCTTGTGTAAAGCTTATACGTGCAACCTGTGAGCCTTTACGTTTGCAATTTTTTTCCTATTGGTGAACAAAAAACCTCTGGTATTTGTATTTGTCTTAATTATCTGAAGCAATAAGATGAATCTAATGAAAGGAGGTAAAATATACATATCTTCTGAAAAACTTATTTTATGAATTAAAACCTTTTTGAAAGTTTTAATTCATTATGATTGATACTATAGGCAGCCTCCTTTCAGGACCCTAGTATTGTAGCCCACAAAATATAATTTCACTGTGTTAGGACTAGATCCTGCCATCCTTATAGACAACAAGTAACGTCTGATCTCCTCAGATGGTTTTATAGCTTACAATAAGACTACTGAAGGCATAACAGGACAGTAATCATGATATAAAAGGAGCCGAATCTGACACTTTAAGTGTTTTATATTGTTATTGAAAAAGAAAAATATGTGAAACCCAACCAAAATACCCCAAATTGAATGCCTTCAAATCTCTTTTAAATTCTATATTCTCTCTTTTAGGGATTATAATGTGCCACAAAATATAAAATAAAGAAAACAGAATGTGACAGAGTTCTTTTTTCACTATTTCCATTTAATTGTTAAGCAGCAGCAATGCTAAAGGTTACTTCTCATTTCATGTGAAAACCATGTACTAATTAATTTAAATTTTAAAAATAAAAGCATATGCATCAATACAAAACAGGAAAAATAAAATAACAAAAGGGGAAAAAATCACTTCAACTGTTTAATTTGAGAGAGAGACTTCATTTTATTTATGTGTTTCTCTTAAAATGACTTTTATCCTCTTCAAAATTCTGATAAGAAAAACACTTTTTGAGCATTTGGTTCATTCCTCATGAGCCCATAATCTGAAACTTCTCCTTCACTAGTGCTATTTATTTAGAAAATAAAAGTAAGACAATGGCCATTTCATAATAGGTACTATATAAAATAATATATATATTTATTTATTTTGGAATAGTGGTCCATACATTGATGTAACTGGGAGTTATACTTCAGCAATACTAGCTAGTTTATCCTACGATGTACTTTAAAACAAATCTTAATGTAATGGGTTTTAAGTACAGAATATGTATATTCTGCATTTCATTCTTGTAATAATACTCATTTAGCTGGAATTGTCCTGCGTATAACACGTTGTTATTGCTAAGGTCTCCTTGATCTTAAAAATATTTTGTATCAACAATTTAATAACGCCTATACTTAAAGCATATCAGGTTTGCATATATTGAAATATAATTTAAGAGGCATATTCTCTGTCATAACAACTCTTGTTTAAGAAAACGTTGCTTTAGACCAGGGTGGGTAAAATATGGTCTGCAGACTGGATTCGGCCTGCAGTATGCCCCTCAGCCCCACCCAGCCCAGGCGTAGGAGGCAGTCTGGGCTGGTTTCATGCCTCTGGATGCACAGTGGGGCTGAGGCAGTGCAGGAGCTGGACTCTACTTCCTGCCAGCCCCAGCAGTGGCAGTGCCTACTAGCTGCTGCTGTCAGTATCACTGCCGCTGCTGTCTGCCCCGTACCTACCATCAGGGCCACTGGATGGAGCAAGTCAGTGGGGTCTCATGCAGACCAGCCTGGCATCCACTCAGGGCATGCCTGACCTGGCGGATGCGATGGGTCCATGGACTATGGGAGAGTGGTGTATAGGAGCAGGATGATGGGCAGGGCTGGGGCTGGGATCGCAGGGCGGTGACAGCAGTGGGCCATGGTCCAGGACAGAGCCATAATCTGCTGCCCACACATCCCTACAATGGGTACTGGTTCCATGGGCAGGGACGCACCGGGAGCGGATCATGGCTTTGCCCCAAGCCCCGAATCTGCGCTGCCACCACCTCAGCCCTGACCTTGGCCACAGTCCCACTCTTGGATGTCATGCCCTGCCCACCCACAGCCCAATCCCATCTGCTTGACTGAGTGCACCCTGCCCATGGAGACCCTGGGGCTGGGCCAGGATTGCCGGGCAGTGGCAGCACAGGGCCAGCCTCCAGGGCAGAGCCACTTCGGGAGTTTTGCTCAGTTGTTGTGGGGGATGAGTGGAGGGTGCTGACCCAGGCTGTAACAGCTCACCAGAGCTCCCTGAGTGGCCCTCTGGCCCATATAATTGCCAACCCCTGCTTTAGGCATAATTAAGATTTAGCTTTATTATTCATTTATAACATATATTCCTTTAACAGTAAAGTAAGGTCTATATGTCTGATATGATCCTTCCATAAAAGTATAAAGAAAAAATTAAATTAATTTTTGCTGGATGTACTCACAGTAAGAATGCCAAAAATCTTGAGGATTGCAGTTGGTTTTAAGTTCATTTTACACATGGAAGTAATAAGACTTCAATAAAGAGTCCAGTTGGAGTAGATGGTAAGTTTCCATATAGTTTTTCCATCCTTTCTGTGAGGTCTCTCATCCTACAAAAAAGGCAAATAAAGAACACCTAGGTCATTTCTGAAGATACTTATCATTACAAACATCTCATCTAAACAAATGGGTGTGAGCCAAAATGGTGGATCAGTACTCTTTTGAATCATAGGGAAATTTGATATTGAAATTAAACTCCATAGCATGGAGCCTCTTTAAGAACAAAATGGTCTGAAAGCAGAATATGGTGGTGCAGGGTGGGGGAGAGGGGGAATCTTAATATTCTGAAGTATTCATTGAGGAAGAACTCCAGACTGTCAAGTGCAAAGCATTTATAATACAAAGGACACATTACCCAATTAAACAGTCATTCCCTAACAAAACAAAAGGGAGAAAATGAGATGAGAGTACTTTTGCAAAGAAGAGACTTAGCTTTGAGATTACATGCAGCTTTATAAAAGGAGATCAATGCAAATAGTTGCATGGGTAAGGACCAGTCCCTTTATTTAGCATTCTCTCTGCATTAGCAAAATAGCCTATCAAATCTCCTTATCGGTCTTCAGACTACTATCCTGCATCTCAAGTCTTATGATGCAAATGACAAGATTCTCAAAAAGATTTAGGCATGGTAATTCTAATCATTCCTCTGCCTAGAAAGAAGTTAGTCACCAGCTCCAGGAATTTAATTAAAACATCCAAGTTAGGTACATAGAATTGTAGAAAATTAGGGTTGGAAGGGACTTCAGGAAGTCATCTAATTCAACTCCCTGCCCAAAGCAGGATCACCGCCAGCTATATCATCCCAGGCAAGGCTTTGTCTACCCAGGTCTTAAAAACCTCTGAGGATGGGAATTTTATAACCTCTCTAGGCAGTCTGTTCCAGTGCTGTACTACCCTTCTAGTGAGAGAGATTTTACTAATATCTAATGTAAATGTATGTTGCTGCAACTTGAGACCATTGCTCCTTGTTCTGTCATCTGCCACCACTAAGAACACTCTAGCTCCATCTTCTCTGGAACCACCCTTCAGGTAGTTGAAGGCTGCTATTATTATAAGTTGCTTGTCCTTTAAATGGGGAGAACTACATACCTAGGAGTGGGATTCCCAGCACTGAGTTGGGGAAGAGCTAAGCCAACCAATAGGAAACAGTGAAGATGGGGAGAAGTGTCTACAAATCTGACTGTCTCCTGACCATCTGCAATAGGCATCTATACTACATTAATCAACTATGGGTACATGCACACCTTTGCCATACCTGATCTATGAACTTGTTGTAGTTTGGGTGCAGTGTGTGCCCACAATTGCTGGTTCTGTGAGCTATGCGGGAAACACAATCCGAGTAATTCAGGGTGGAAATCAGGGGAGCTAGTAGGGCTGTGGGGGGCAGGTTTGGCTGGTCTGGGATGTAGTTGGCAAGATTGGGGATGATGCGGGGCTGGCAGAGGGGTTGGTGGGTCTGTTGTGGGGGAGGAGGTGTGGGGCATTGTCCATCCAGAGCTGGGAACTTTTGGGGGCTAAAATCATAGAATCATAGTAGTGGAAGGGACCCCAAAGGATCAATGCGTCCAGCCCCCTGCATGAGCAGGAAAGACATCTGTGTCAGGTGACAGTCCAGTCTTCTCTTGAAGACTTCTAGGGTAGGTGATTGCACCACCTCTGAGGGGAGCTTGTTCCATAGTCTGGATACCCTAGTTGTGAAGAATTTTTTCCTAATGTTCAGCCTGAAACTATCTTTCAGGAGTTTGTGGCCATTGTTTCTAGTTTCCCCCTCAGGGCACCCTGGTGAACAGTTGTT